ACGCTTTAGAATATTATGAATCACACCCGGAGAAGCAGGCAGCGTTGGTTTTTCTTGACGCCCAAAAGGCCTTCGATAACCAAAATTGGAAATTTATGATTGAACAATTACAAAATATGCAAATTGGGGAAAAATTTGGGAAAATTATAGCAGAAATCTATACCAAGCAATCAGCAAGGATAATTATGAATGATGACATAACAGACAAATTTAATATAACAAAAGGAGTCAGACAAGGCTGTCCACTTTCCCCCTTACTATATATTCTATCATTGGAAATCCTGTTGAAAAAAATTAGAGAAGACCAAGGAATTGAAGGTTTAAGGATTAATAGAGAAGAATACAAAGTTCAAGCCTTTGCTGATGACTTAGTGTTTTTGACAGAAAATCCTATGGAATCTATACCTAATTTGTTCCAAAAAATAGAAGAATTTGGAGAAGTGGCTGGACTAAAAATCAATAAAAGTAAATCAAAGCTAATTGTTAAAAACCTTACGGAAATCCAAACAAAAGATTTGACAGATAATATACAAATTCAAACAACAACAACAACAAAAATATATCTAGGAATCTGCTTATCTACAAGAACATCAGCAATTAAAGAAAACAATTATGATAAATTACTAGAACAAACAAAGAAAGACTTAGAAAAATGGGAAAATTTACACATTTCATTCCTAGGAAGAATTTCGGCCATCAAAATGACTATATTACCTAAATTTTTATATTTGTTTCAGGTCACCCCAATTAAAATAGATAAACCGTTTTTTGAAAAGCTGAATAAAATAACATCTAAATTTATATGGCAAGGGAAAAGGCCACGAATAAAATTTAAACTGCTTCAGGATACAAAAGATAGAGGAGGAGCTGCACTCCCTGACTGGGAGATATACTACCAAGCAGCAGTACTATCGTGGGTCAAAGATTGGATAGAATTAAAGGACTCTAGAATTTTAACAATTGAGGGACACGAACTTCAAACTGGCTGGCACTCCTTTATGTGGGATGAGAAATACAAAACACATTCATATTTTAAAACACATACAATAAGGAACTCACTATTACAAATTTGGCTTAAAATTAAAAAACAACATTATATGAAGATACCAAATTGGCTAGCACCGGCTGAATCAATTAGGCACCCAAACTTAACAGATAAGACAAAAATAATTAGATATAAAGATATAATTGACTATCAAGGCAAACTAAAGACAAAACAACAATTGGAGATAGATTTACACAGAGGAATAGACTGGTGGACTTACACTCAAATACAATCCAAATATAGAGAACATATAAAAACATATGAAATTTATAATCAAAAACAAGAAATAGATAAAATTATATTAGATTCAGAAAATAAATTAATTAGTAGAATTTATAAATTTCTCCTACGCTATAAATTGAAAGAAGAGACAGTCAAAGAAACGATGATCAAGTGGGCTCAAAATATCAAACACACAATACCTTTGGAAAAATGGGAAAAGTTCTGGCAGGTAAACCTAAAGTTAACGAAAGCAACGGCGTACAAGGAAAACCAACTGAAAATGTTTTATCGGTGGCATATGTCTCCAACCAGATTGGCAAAAATACAACCTAAAAATAGCCCAATTTGTTGGAAGTGCAAAAAGGCACAAGGGACTTTCTATCATTTATGGTGGACGTGCCCGGCAGCAAAGAAATTTTGGTCTAACATCAAAAAATGGTTGGAACAAATAACAAAAACACAGATTGAAAAAGAACCAGAAACATTTTTATTAGGAATATTTAACAAATCATACCCTAAGGATATCAAATATCTTACAATCCACATATTAACTGCTGCAAGAATAACCTACGCAAGAAATTGGAAACAAGAAAAAATACCAAGTGAAACAGAAGTAATAGGGAAAATTTTAGAATGCGCTGAAATGGATAGGTTAACCAAAGAATTACAAGAAAAAGAAGAATCAGACTATTATAAAATATGGAATAATTGGTATAATTGGTTAAAAATTAGAAATATACAAAAAATATAGGGGATATATTACCGATTGATACATATATATGTAATAAAAAATATTATTAGATTAAAGAGAGGTGAAGGAATATATTATAAGTAGAATTGTAGAACGTCACTCTGAAAAAATGCTTAAGAAGAAATTACACTCTTTTTGTGTATATGTTGTATAAATGTTTGTTGTGTATATGTTACGTATGTCTTTTTTAATATTTATATTCAATAAAAACTATTTAAAAAAAAATTCAATTAGAAATGGTAGAACCTCTTAAGGAGTTATTTGCTAAAACACAACGGGGAGGAGAGGTGCCACCATCCTGGAGAACAGCTTTTATTTCCCTGATTCCGAAAGAAGATCAAGATCATAGTCAACCCAAAAATTACACATCCATATCATTGCTTAATACAGATTATAAAATCTTTGCAAAAATTTTGGCAAATAGACTAATGTCAGTTATGCAACAAATGATTCATAAAGATCAAACTGGATTTATACAAGGGAGACAAATGAAAAGTAATGTAAGACAAATTGTTAATATACTGGAGTATTTGGGGAAGAACAACCAAGTCCCTGCAGTGCTTATATTTTTGGATGCAGAGAAAGCGTTTGATCGATTGAATTGGCAGTTTTTAGTGAAAGTAGCACAAAAGATGCAGTTGGGAGAGCATTTCATACAATCTATTAAGACAATATACCAGAAACAAACAGCACAAATAATAGTTAATGGTAGTCTCACAGAAACTTTTAAAATTGAGAAAGGAACAAGACAGGGATGTCCCTTGTCTCCACTATTGTTTATTTTAACTTTGGAAGTATTGCTGAATAAAATACGGACTCAGATAACATACAGGGTATTAAAATCAGGCAACATAATTATAGATTATGAGCATTTGCAAATGATTTGGTTGTAACTTTAACCCAACCAGTAAATTCAGTTACAGGTTTGATGGATATAATTAGGCAATATGGTCAAGTGTCAGGGTTTAAAATAAATATAGGGAAAACAAAGATGATAGCTAAGAATATGAATACAAATCAAAAAGAAGAATTGGAAAGAGTAACAGGATGAGAGATAGTGAAAAAGGTTAAGTACTTAGGAATCTTTATTACAACGTCAAATGGGAAATTATACAAGTATAATTATGAATTGTTATGGCATAAAATACAGATAGAAATGGATAAATGGAAAAAATTACAACTGTCTTTGTTGGGAAGAATAGCAGTAATTAAAATGAATGTTCTGTCCAAGTTTCTATTTCTCTTTCAAATGATACCAATACTTAAAAAGGATGCAAATTTGGAGGAATGGCAGAAAGGCATTAATAACTTTGTTTGGGTAGGGAAGAGACCAAGAGTTGAATTAAAAAATAATGCAGGATATACGTGAAAGAGGAGGTTTGAAACTGTCTAATCTAAAATTGTAGTATGAAGGAGCTGTTTTGTCAGCAATTAGTGACTGGATTAATTTAACAGATGAAAGAATAATGAATATTGAAGGGTATGATTTGCTATATGGTTGGCATGCCTACTTAGTTTATGAGAAGAAAGGTGGACAGGACTTTTAAAAGTCACATATTAAGGAATGCCCTCCTGCGTGTTTGGAAAAAATACCAATATAAATTGAATGGCAAGATACCCATGTGGGTACTACCCAGACATGCGATAGAAAATATAAGTATAGAACAAAGACAGGATGTAATTACTTATAAAGAACTTCTGATTACAGAAAGAAATGTACTACAGTTAAAGCCTCTGAATGTATTAAGAGAGGAAAGGGCAATTCAAACCTGGTTTCAGTATGTACAGCTGCAGAATAGATGGAAAAAAGATCAGAAAATTGGTATTACACAAAGTGAAGAAAATTTGATAAAACAAATTAGGGACCAAAGTCAAATGCACATAAAAAGGTTGTATAATATATTGATAGAAATAGATTCGGAAACAGAGTTAGTTAAAGATTGTATGATAAAATGGGCACAAAATTTTGAGGAACCAATAATGATGGAAACATGGGAAAGGATCTGGGTAAGAAATGAAAAATTTACACAAGCTCAAAATTTGAGAGAAAATTTTTATAAAATGTTTTATAGATGGCATTTGGATCCCAAAAAGTTAGCTTGTATGTACCCAAACCTACAACCCAAATGTTGGAGATACGATTGTGTTGATGCTACCTATTTTCATGTTTGGTGGACTTGTAAAAAAGTTAAAGCATTTTGGATAAAAATATGGTGGATTATTCAAAATATTTTTTAAAAAAGGATAAAGTTTACTCCACAGATTGTACGGCTATAGAGACTAATTTGATTCTGAACTTAATAACTGCAGCAAGGCTCTTGGTGGCACAGTACTGGAAGAAGGAAGATTTACTATTCAAGAATGGACATTAAAAGTAGTAAATTTAGCAGAAATGGCGAAAATTTCAGCATATCTAAAGGACCATTCAAATGAGAAATATATGTTAGAATGGAGAAGATGGATTGATTATATTCAAGGCAAATATCGGATTAAAAAATTTCAAATAGCTTATGAATGATCAAAGAGATTTTATAAAGTACTTAAATTTAGTTTAGTAAAAGGGGAGTTAAAAGTTCAAGAGGGGGATAGGAGGCTATAGATAATTAGCTTATGTTAGCTTATGATTATCAAATGTTATACCCTGTATTTTGCTCTGGGAAGTGGGGGGGGGCGGGGAGAGAGGGGAAGGGGAGGGTTGGAAGGGGAGGAGGGAGGGGGAAGGGGAAATGTCTGTAAAACTTTTTAAAACTTTTCAATAAAAAAAAAAAAGACAATCACATGAATGCAGTGGGGGGATGGGACTGGAGGACGCAGCCATCCTAACTTCAAATATGGGTAGTAAGTTCCTTTTGGGGAGTCCATTGAAACTTCAAACGGTTGCTAGGTGAACGATTGTTAAACAAGGACTACTTGTAATACAAAAGGTATTACCAGTGAAGAATTTTGAAGTGCTTTTCTCTGTGGGAAAGCAGTCAAACTTACCAATCCAGCACTGTAGTATCCAGGAAGATATTTTTCACAGATTTGCACCAGGCACCAGAAAGCTTGCTGTGGAGAAAGACCAAGGAATCTTTAGCCCGGATAATCGCAGTAGCCACAGTTGGGTGAATGGCAGACTAGCATTCTAGCAAACTCCCAGTTAGAACTTTCCAGTTACTAAGCCAGCAAATTCAATTCAGGGGCCTTAGCCCTCTCCCAAACCTGGGGCTTCCACGTTTCTTCAACGACACAGAAGTAACATATCAGAGCCGGTAGCAAAGCCACAGAAGGAGAACAAAGTCACAATTTGAGAAGAGGCCTAGATCCCATCAGGGCTGCCAGTTAGTGTAATGGTTATGTTTTAACCTCGCACATGCATGATGCTGCTTGAAAACATGGTCACTGTCAATGCTCTGGATCCAGCTTCTGGAACTGGTAAAGTGCCCGGCAGTCCAAAAGGATAGAGGTTGATATGTAGGCAAGCAGGATGCCTGCTGTAAAAAAGACTTCCAAAGTGCAGCGACTATATATCAGCGATCCTCAACCTTTGCGGCTTGGCAGCCTGGGTGGGGTGGGAGAGAGAAGGGAACCGGGCCTCACAAGTGGTGGCAGAATGCGCGCAGCTTCATTTAAGCAAGAGGGAAGCCTTTGGGGCGCGGTTTCATGCTTCTTCAGGCTTCATGCCAAAAGCTTTTGCAAAGGGACGGAAGCCTGAAACAGCACGAAATCGCTCCCCCAAAGCCTTTTGCCCATTTGCAAAAGCTTTTGGCACTGAGAAGAGAAGACTTTGGGGGCGCTGTCTCATGCTCCTTCAGGCTGAGGTTGCCCAATGGTCCAAAAGCGGACCAGGTGTCCAGCACAGGCAGCTTCAGTGAGTCAGCGAAGGTGAGCAGGGCACGTTCATCCCATTCAGCCTCTTCTCTCACCGCTCCCCTCTTGGAGTATCAGGAGTAGGTGGTCTGGCAGCCCAGCTGGCAGGGGGAGAGGGGAACTGACCCAAGCAGTATTCTCTCACACCACGCAGCTCCACTCATGCAAGGGAAAAGTCTTTGGGGCACCACTCGTGCAAGAGGAGCTGCACACACGCAACCACCTGCCTCTTGTGAGCCCAGTTCCAAATAAGCCATGGCCCAGTAGTGATCCACAGCCTGAGGATCGGGGACCACTAATATACATGCTCCAAACTGCTGAAATATTCTGCAAATATAAGTAAAACTAGGAAGTGTGGCTTTTTCCCAGAGAAACTATGCTTTCTAAGCTGGCAACTGCAGTACGAATGAAGCAGCTCCTCACCTCCGCGGGCATATGCATCAGCAAAACTGCAGCTACGGGTGCTTGTGCTTGGCAGTAACCTTCTTCTGGCCGGTAGATGGTATAGGCTTTTAGGATGCGATAGAGGTCCTGCTGCCTGTGATGGAGGATAAGGAGTGGAAAATTTAATCTAGACTCTTGGACTCTATGAGTTCACTGTTCACAAGACCAAACTCTAATAAAGCAGAATTCTCTGTTATGTTTCTTTCAGGTCTTTAATTAATAACAAGGCTTATAGGCCAGTTAATGCTCAGCATTTCTCAGATCATGTGCCAGGATGTTAATGAAACAACTAAAAGTGTGACGGCAGACATGAGTTCCTGATTAGCCCTGTATCCCATTATCTTAAGTCTAGAGATGAAGAAAGGCACTGAAAGACACATCAGATACAGGAGTAGGTGTAGTAGAGGCTGGAGTGGCAGAGGCAATTCAATGTAAGAAAGAGCTGGACCAATACAGATAGTCCTCAACTTACCATCATTTATTTTAAGTTACAACAGCGCTGAAAAAAGTGACTTTCGACCAGTCCTTGCATTTACAACTGTCACAGCATCTCCATGATCATGTGATCAAAATTCAGGCCCTTGGCAACTGCAATGTATTTAGGATGGCTGCAACACTCCAGGATCATGTGATTGCATTTGCAACCTTCCCAGCTGGCTTCCAAATAGCAAAGTCAATGGGGGAAGCTGGATTCAACTTAATGACCATGTGACTTAACAACTGCATGACTCACTTAACAACCACCTTGTTTAGCAATGGAAATTCTGGTGCCAATTGTGATTGTAAATTGAGGACTACCTGCATGCTTATGAAAAATTTCAAAAGGAGTTGGGGGTGACGAGCTGATCTAGTGTGTAGAGAAAACTGTTTTATGCATTCTGAGAACGGAAAGGATCGCAGTGACTTTCCAACCCTAGAGGTCTGAGCACTGGACAAAAAACACCCCTTCTTTAATTCTCTCACCCATGGCCTCCCCGAGCTGCAAACATCTCATGGAAAGGGAATTGCCTGTGGAGGTCCTTCTCAATCACATCTAGCCATTTGGGATCGCCAGGCTGACGCTCCAAATCCTAAGAGAAAAGGAAAGGCAACAAGGAAGGAAAGTCGGTGAATTTGGAGGCAGAAGCCTATCTTAGAGGACTTTTCCTTACTGCCTCTATGCAAGCTGGCTGGGGAATTCTGGGAGTTGAAGTCCACTCATCTTCAAGCTGCCAAGGTTGAGAAATGCTGCTTCACCGGATCAATTGTTAACAGTTTCTGTTATGGAACGGATTCCAGAAAGACATTCCAGGTGTCTGCTTGTTCCAGCTCAACCTTCTCCTTTCCCACCCTGTTATTCAGGAGAATTCCCAATTGTTAAGTTTAGGGGATTTTTATTGCAGTTTATTAATATGGCTTGCTATTAGGTGTAAGCTACCTCAGAATAAGTTGCGTTTGGAAAAGCAGGATATAAATATATCTATTAGACATAATCAAACCTTCTGCATTCTCCAAGATAAGAAAGTAGGCTTCCCTGTATATTTTAGTGAAAATTCGTGAAAATACCTCAAATTTCCCCAGATTTTGATCCAAAAGTTCCTTGCTATTTGAGAGTAGCTGCCATGCTTTGGCACGGAGAGAAGAGGGAATCCCCTTCCGGCACCGCAATTTCACCTGCGATAAAATGTACAATCATTAATACGTGAAGCAAAGAGACAGAAATTCAAAAAACCCAAGCAGAAATTAAAGCTCTTCTTTATTAGCCAGGAACAGAGGTCTCTGACCCTAATCTCTGCTCACCTTCTGAAATCGACGTGACAGCCACTTATCCCAATGAGAAAACATGTCCAGCCACTTAAGTTCCCTCTGTCTGGCCACATCCACAGGGATGTTGCTTTCCCTGCAGCAAAAAAGCAAACGAGGAAGACGAGGAGCTAAGAAAAATGCTACAAATGTGTGTCTTGCATAATTCTAAGGTTTCTGCTCTTCAGAGGAAGGGCTAAGGAACTATGCAATATGACAGACCTCTTACCATCTCCTTTATGTTGAGAGTCCATACCAACAAAGAAAAGGAAACTCCTTTACTGAGAAAGGAAGAGCAAAGAGCCTTGATAGTACAGGGATTTAGTGCACCCTGTTATTAACACAGCTGCCTGCAATTTCTGCTGGTTTGAATCTCTCCAAGGCTCAAGGTTGACTCAGCCTTCCATCCTTTCTAAGGTAGGTGAAATGAGGACCCAGTTTGTGGGGGCAATAAGCTGACTTTGTATAAAATATACAAAAGAATGAAGGCTATTGCTTAACGCATTGTAAGCCGCCCTGAGTCTCCGGAGAAGGGCGGCATATAAATCAAATTAAAAAAAAAAAAAAAGCAATTCAAACCCTAAAAGACAAACCTTTGGGATGGTGGCAAATTAAGCTTCTCCAAGTCTTACCTATTCCTCCCCACAACTCCACTGCGTCTTAGGTCTTGGAAGCTCTACAACTGCTTGCTCATTGTGACAAGATGGATCACAAACATCCTCTAAGATAGCATGTATAGGTGATCCTTGACTTACGACTGCAATTGAGCCCAACATTTCTGTTGTTAAGCGAGACATTTGTTAAGTGAGTTTTGCCCCATTTTATGACTCTTGCCACAGTTGTTAAGTGAATCACTGTTGTTGATAAATTAGTAACCCAGTTGAGTGAATCTGGTTTCCCCACTGCCCTTGATTGTCAAAAGGTTGCAAAAGGGAGTCACATGTCCTTGGGACACAGCAATGGTCATAAGTATGAACCATTGCCAAGCATCTGAATTTTGATCACATGGTCATGGGGATGCTACAACAGTTGTGTGAAAAATGGTCATAAGTCCCATTTTCAATATTTTTGTAACTTTAAACGGTTACTAAATGAACTGTTTTAAGTTGAGGACAACCTGTAGTCATCCCATTCTGAACAAATTAACTGTTAGGTCTACATTTAGCTAAATTGCCCTGCAGACGCTATAATTTAACACATTCTTCATTGTGCACACACACACAGTCAGGTGCTGTACATGGTAAAAAAAAATATCCTGGATTACACTTTTGGCATCTCCCCCTTGCTTTTATGGCTCCCAGAGGGTTATGGGAGAAGAGTTCCTTATACATTTGTATCTGTAGAAGGAAAGGCAGAACCTGGGGATGGAGAGAAAAGAGGGATCAGCCTAGAATCCGTATGTAGCTGCAAATGTACTTCCAATCCTACCCGAGAGCCACTGACCCTTATTTAATTCTACCCAGGTGCTGACCATTAATTGAGAAAATAATTAATTAAATAATTGAGAAAATATCTATGCACAGGCCTTAAGCAATAAATAAGCCTAACTGAAACTTCACGTGCGTGGACCTGGTCTTTCCTGCCTGACAGTATCTCACAGAAATGTTTCTCTATCACACTGTTTATGGTTTCTCACTGTGTCCATTATTGCCTCCGGCATCAGCTGATGCACATCACCACCACAAACAAGGTTCACACGTAGCCTCCACCTTAACAATAAAACAAAGACATGAAAGAACGTGCAGGGCAGCTGGGTTAGTGTGATCTGAAACTAGGAAGCTGCCTTCAGCCTGCTGTGAGTCACAATCCACTGAGTCTTTCTTGAGAGTTTATGGGGCAATGAGAATTAGGTTAGTTATATGAAAAACTAGAATGGTGCAGCATCCGATTGAAGGTACCCAACTTCATCGGTTTCAGGCAAGGGGGTTCAGGGTTGATGGTGATCATAAAGCAAGATCTAGGCAGGGCTCTCATTAACAAAACCCAGCAAAAAACAGGAAGGGCTGCTTGCCAAACAGGAAGTGGTGAGACCGATTGTAAAAAGCCATAGAAATAAATATTCTGAGTGGGCGAGAAGAATACTGTTCCCCCAAAGCCACACCAATAGGAAGAAAGCAGTTAACTGGTGCTTTTGTGAAAAACATATTTTCTCTGTCAAAAGAAGCAGGTGCGCCAACATTATTAAGCATGTCTTTCACTGCCCTAAAGAAGCCTATCAACCAGCCTCCGTCACTTACTGACCATGCTTGTATCACAGATACAATCCTGGACTTGGTCATTAATGCCACCTCAAATCCGCATCCTGCCCTTCCTTTCCTTTCGTGTCCTCCCCTAAACCTTCCAAGCAATTTGCCAAAGGCTATTCAAGGATAAACAGGAGATAGACAAGAGATCATTTGGATCACACCAATCAATATCCAGATCTCAGCACCTGGCCAATTTTATTTGGACTCAAAAGCATAAGAAAGCCTGCTCAGTACTTGAGTTGGACCCCATCAGCAAATTCCAAGGTGATAAACTAGTCCAGGAAGTCACATTCTGGAAGAAAGCAAAGGCAAACCTTTATATTTGCTAAGAAAACATAGATGTATGAGGGAGGAAAAAAACAGAATACTATTGCACAACTAATTTACATCAGACCCATGTTGTAGCTAATGTTTGGCTATAAGGAAAAATGGTTAAATGTTAACTGCAAACCCCAATTCTAGACTGCTTTTTAAACCCTCTCTTCCAGTTCAAGCTATGAATAAAAGTGAATGTAACTGGAAAGTATATTCAAAGCTTAGTCAAATACTAAATACTACCTTCTCTTTTTCAATTGTAAGCCAATTTAGTTCTTAGCATGCACATTTTTTTCTATTGGTTACTCTGGCTTGTGCTGATCAGCTTTCCTCAAAAAACAGGCTTCCTGTAGAGGGTTTCCACTCCACAAGCAGCTGAGAACGACATAAGGTTAGTACAGATGGTTAGGCAGGAATAGCAGCTAATCCACCACCAAAAAGAGAATCTTGCTACAAAGAAACACCATCATCCCCTCCCACAGCACGTACGCCAACTGAAACAAAGCAAAACCTACACCATAATCTATAATGTTTAACATGCTTTGTTATTATCTGCTTTCTTGCAGAGAAATATCAGCAGCCTCAGGAGGGAGAGCACACACCTTTTTTTACATGTGTAAATCTGTAAGAAACTTTCATTTTTAGCAAAAATGGGCATGCTTTGTTCCACCTCCTATTTTAACAGCAACTTAAACAAGTTCAGAGAGGGTTCCTTGGATATAATGCTAATAAATAGCAATTAGCTGCAACAATTTATAACTGAGTACATTATATCCTATCCCTATTTAGAAGAGTACTTCCATCTGCTAGCTGATGAAAGTGATTATTCGATCTTCGAATAATATTTGAATAAGGACCAGTTACTGTTAGACAAAGGAGCAGACATTAAAGGTTTCTAGAACTAGAAAGACAGTTCTGAAATTTCCTTCAGCATCTTGAAATTCTTTAGGCTGAATCTAATGCTGCACAAGTAAAGCTGGCATTTGTTAGCAAATCTTTTTCTTTAAAGAACGGTTAATTTCAGAGACAACTGCTGGAATTGTTGCATTAGTGCCCAAATGGACACCATAACGAATGGATCAATGTCTAGATGCTTGGTGTTTATATGCCACAAGAGATTAGGGCCATGGGGGGGAAAACGCTCCCTTTCAGTCAGCAGTGTATAATGCTGGCATAGCCATGTGAGTTTGGAAAGAAATGCTAACTGGGTACAGTTTGGCACCTGCCACTCAGGGACTGTGGAAAGTGGTACATGTTATAATGCTGCATCTAACTGTGATCGAAGTCCACAGGCTCACCGCTTCCCATACTGCTGCACGATAATCTTTTCAATCAACTCCAAATTCCCTGGCTGAATAAGTTGTTGAGACACCGTGGCAGAGACAGCAAGAAGAAAAGCAATAAATTCCAAAGGGCAGTGCTCGAAAGCTCTTCTGGAAAGGCAACACGTGGTTTTTCAGGCTGCACAAAGAATGCATCAACCTCAGCACAAATTCATTATTGTAGCTGCCACCCTCTCTCAGCTGCAGTCTCGTGGGAAATGTAAGCTGATTCTAAAACAATCAGGAGCTTTAAAAGCTGCTTGAAATAAGGCTCGTGGTATGTGTGCTCAGAGCTTATATAAATTTATCTAATGGGATGCAGCATCTTCCTGAACTTATCTAGGCTCAGAAACTAAGCAGAAGAAGCAAGCTTGCAAGAATTTGGATGGGAAATGCTTATATTCACTCTAGTGCAGTGTTTCCACACATCTTCAAGTTGCCAAGGCTGAGAAACACCGCCCTAGTGAAATATCAGAATTATAGGCCAGACTGGGAAGCAAAGAAGAAGAAAAATTCCAGGAGGCTGTGACAAGCTGCTTGTGTGTAATTGCCATGAAAATTATCTATAATGTCTATAGATATCAGTTAAAGTTATCAGAATCAATCTTGACTTTAAGAAGACTTCACCTTTTTGAAGTTTGATCAGTCAAAATCCTGAAGCAGGAATTTTTTTACTGCTTTTCTTTTTGCATCATTACAAAAGTATGCAGTTACTGCAATAGGGATGATTTCAAGAGAACAGTATGTGGAACGATTTTTATGACAAGTATTCAAACCAAAAAGAAACCACAGAAAGATTATCAGGAGCCACATTACTGGTGCTCAAAAACAAAAAAAAATGCATCACACGTATGGGCCAAGCCAAGAAATACAGCCACTTAATCACAATGAAAAGGTGTATGAAGCCACACCCCGAGAGACGCGATTCTGATTTCACACCAAAGGGAAGAACATGCAAACTGAAAAGGAAAAATATAGTTATGGAAAAGAGGATAGAAATACATCTTAGCTATATATGGAGTGGAGAAATGACTCATTTGACAGACCAGAGAACCAATGTTGCAATGAGATATTTAAGTGTTTAAGGAAAAGGAACTTGAGATAGTCCAATTGTCTATTTTACTGCCCTAAGCTATTCAGATTTATGGACCTTCCCTCCCATGCAGAAGTGAATAGTGTGTAGAGTATTGTCCATTTCTTTAGAGGAAGTAAAATGTAATTTGTTAGTCGCCCTTCGAATTTGATGCATGTCAAATACAGAATGATCAGAAGAAAGGGAAGTTTTTTTTTACTGAAAACCAACAATTTTTTTTTCATTATTCCTTCCTGAATGCTAATCAGAAAAATGAAGCATTATTATATCTTCCCAGAAAATTGTATTAGAGAAGGAGGAGGATAACAGAGTTGGAAGGAACCGTGTAGGTCTTCTAGCCCAACCCCCTGCTTAGGCAGGAAGTATCTCAGAGTCTCAAACTAGAAAAAAAGTCATTTAAGAAAGCTGATCAATAATGGACCTCTTTAACTATGTGGCAGCGTAATCAGGGCCGTACTTGACACAATTACTTCTCCTGAGTTCACTTTCACCAGAATAAGAGCTGGTGGGCCACAGGGCAGAAATTTGAAGCTCTCTATTATCAGCACTCTAGTCCAAGTGAGAGGGATGCCTATCAGTGGGACTAGTTTGAGATAAAGCACTTCTCCCCAACATAAAGGCCATCACAGTGATGCCAATACTTACAGTGTAATGGAATACTGGCTGCCCCCCAGGAAGCCATATTTATCAGTCTTACGATAGGCAAGTCCATTGATTTCAGAATCAGACCCCAGAGAGCTAGCATCGTCAAGGAATCCAGGACCAGTCAGCGACTCCAACGTGCCTGACATGAGACTAACAGAATCTAAATAACTCAAAGTATCAGAAGCCGGAGGGACTTTGGATGCAGTAGTCCCCAGGCTAGACTGGGAACCCATGTCTTGAGGTGGCCGAGGAGTGGAAAAGTCATGAAGCATCAAACCCTCCGGAGATGTTGGTGAAGTCTTCTCCGGTGGGGTCATAGGACTGGGGGCTACCACAATCACCGTTGGCGAAGCTGGTGCAACCGGTAGGGGTTTCACTACTGTGTCTCTTGGCAAAGCCACGGATGCTGGCATCACCCCGCCGTCATTCTCGGTAGCCTTAGCGATGACAGAAGCCACCGAATTGACCACGGGGACCACCGTATCCGCCGAAAACCCATCTCCAGCTTCCATCGCTACTGTTTCAGACCTCGCCTCTCCAGGCTCTGCCCCCTTTCCAGCATTGTTGGTCACAAGTGTCATCTCTGCAATCATCGTGGTTAATGTCACCTCTGTAGGGTTGCAAGGTGCTGCCGGGGTGGCAGCGGTTGGCACTTCACCGGGGTCCATGGTTATTGCTGCATCGTTGGCTGTGGCCAGAGGCAAACCTGGCTTGCTGTTTGTCGTCCCTTCGAAGGCCTCAGGAGTCGGAGCCTTCCGCTTGAGAACGTGAAGGACCGACCGAGAGGCATTGGGCCGAGGCGGCGGCGACGGGGGATCCCCAGAACCCGTCTCCATAACAATGGGCCCCCTCCCCCCCAATGGGGGGGGACGCGGCCTGGTCGCCCAGCCGAATGCCTGAGCGACGGTGAGGGAAGAGAAACGAGAGGGAGGAAGCTCAAAGCTTCGCGGCTCCCTCCCCCCCGCCCCCCCACCTAGACAGCGGCAGCAACGGCGGCAGCTCCAGAAAAAGAGCGAGCCAGAGAGATCGAGAGAGCCACCCGAGTTGCGCACGCACTCCGGGCCGACGTTTCACCCAATGAACAGCGAGGAGGAAGACGGGTTTATCCAATCACGAAAGGACTTAAAAAAAACAGAAAGAAATGAACGTAGAGGGACTCGGAACCAAGACAGGGGGTCCCACGGAGAAGTAGCCAATCGGAATAGAGCGGGGCTTGGGGACGCAGCCAATCACTAAGGGGACTTGTGGGATACTGCGATGAAAATGAGGAAGGGAGGAGACGAGGTGTTCCGATGAGAGGCGGGACTAGCGGGAAGCGTCCGCCAATCCCTGACAGGAACGCAGGATCGGAATTCCGTTTCTCTTAGCCGGGAAGCTGAAGAAGCCGCAATAAAGTAGACCGAAGTCATTGTTCTGAGGCAGAGGAGGCGTGTACTTAAGCACTACGCAACCAATGAAAAGACGAGCCGGCAAGCCTCCTCCAATCAGCAGGGAGAACCCTCCTCTCGGCGCCATCAACGCACGTGATGCTCGTGCCGTAGAGGCGACGGCCTGTCGTCAAATGAACGGCAACCGTAAATGCGAGTGTTTCCAGAGTAGCGTCCTTCCAATTCGATAAAGCGCCGCGGCTGTTAATCTGGGCGCGAATGTGTCCAGCCTTAGCCGGTCGATTGAAAGGCCCGACATATTTCTTGATGGGCTTGGGAGGCGTTGTCTGGAGACAATAATGACGCTTTGCCGAGCTCCACATTTCAAACTAACGAGTATCGGATCTTGAGACTAATATGGGAACAATCCGGGCCAGGTGATTGGCTGAATTGCCTCGAAGGGATTTGGATTGACACCTGGGTCGGCGAATCAGAGGTGAGGGGTGGGTCCCGAGGGCACGAAGCCCGGGAAAGACGGTTTTTAACGTTCTTTTGCCAGTTCTTTGGTTCCAACGGTCTTTGCTTTGTCCAATCCGGTTTTCTTCCGCGATGCTGCGCAACGTCAGGACCCCCGAAAGATTTCCAAAAAAAGGGAATCTAAAAACAGCGGCGACGTTGATTGAGTAACCGGGCTCGAGGTTCTTTCTTCCCTCCGAAATTTTTTGTTTCCTCATATTTGGATCGTTGCTAAATGCTTTCCTTTCTTCCTGGACAGTAGCCTTCCTTCCACAAAAGAAACAAACAGCCAAAAAGGGAACAAAAAGACCCAAACACCCCCCCCCCCAGCAATCAGCACCCAGATCAGCATAGATTAACTCGAAGGTTAGCATCAGACTAATCAGTAGTAAACAAACCCAAGAATACCCTAAGGTAGAAGCTTATTGACCCCAATATTTTTATTGTCCACCCTAAATCTACCTTGGCCTTAAACTGAGCAACTTGGTATAAGCAGTACAATGCAGTGAGCCATATGCAGATCTGTACCTTGGGGAAACAAAACAGGTACTTGATAAAGGCATGGCACAACATAGGAGAACAAACTCATCAGGACTAGATTCAGCAGTCCATCTGCATTTAAAAGACAAAGGCCACTCTTGAAGACAGCAAAGTCCACATTTTGGACAGAGAGGACTGCTGGTTTGAAAGAGGGATCAAAGGCCATCTATGTCAAAATTGAACAGCCCTCCGTCAACACAGTTTTTTCAGCAGTTCCACACCCATTTGCACCACTCAGCTGATCCTGAGAATACATAAACCTCCAGGTGGCCTTAACAATTCTCTAAAAGAAAAGCAAATAACTAGCTATCTGCAAGGAGTATAAATCCTTCCATTCCCCACTATCCAGTCAGAGCTGATGAAGCTTCTTGGATGAGAAGTGAAACATCTTCAAGAAAAAAACAAAGTCCAGTTGCCTCTTTTTTTTTTTATTGCAAAAGTTTTACAATTACATTTTCACCCCTTTTCCCCCCCCAAACTTCCCAACCTCCCTAACCCTCCCTAACCCTCCCCTCCCCCCAGACTTCCCTATAATATACTCATACTCATAAAGAACCCTAATATAACACTTATATATAAACTTGAACCCCTCCCTCCCCTGTATAATTTTTCTCTTTACCTCATTACATTAAAAAATTTCCAATACATTATTTTCAAATAAAAGCTATTTGATACTTTCTAGTTTGATATTTGTTCTGAATGTATTCTATCCACCTTTTCCATTCCCACTCATAAGTCTCTTGTGAACAGTCTTTTAAATATGCTGAAATCTTCGCCATCTCTGCAAAACTAGCCATCTTCAAAGTCCATTCCTCAATAGTGGGCAAGGCTTCATTCTTCCAATATTTACCTATCAACAATCTTGCTGCTGTTATCATATACAATATCAATTTTGTTTCACCCGATGTAAAACCCTTAACTATACCCAATAAAAACAGTTGTGGAGAAAATTGAATTTTTTTCTTCAAAACATTCTGCATGACCCACCAAATTTTTATCCAAAAAGCCTTAACTTTCCTACAGGTCCACCAAACATGATAATACGTAGCATCCAAACATTCACATCTCCAACATTTTGGCTGAACATTAGGGTACATACATGACAACTTTTTGGGATCTAAATGCCATCTATAAAACATTTTGTAGAAATTTTCCCTCAAATTCTGCGACTGTGTAAATTTAACATTCTGAACCCAAATTTTTTCCCATGTTTCCAGCATCACTGGTTCTTCAAAATTCTGTGCCTACTTAATCATACAGTCTTTAACTAATTCTGTTTCTGAATCTCTTTCTAGCAAAACATTATAAAGCCTTTTGATATGCATTGGTCCTTTCTCTCATATGTCTAACCAATTCTTCCTCATGCAACATAATACCAGTTTTTTGGTCCTCTTTCCATCTCAAAGTCCAGTTGCCTCTTGAAAAAGCACCTTTGGGACAATTATCACCTGAATGATTGAGAATCTCCATAGAGAATCAATAAGCAATACCCCAGTCAAGAAACTCCCAAAAAAGCCAACAGTAAACAGTCCAACCAAAGAACCTCCAAAGAACCAAAGAGCACTCCAGGGCCAACCACTAGAATATAAATTGAGAGTAAATTCCACTCCTTACTAGCACTGATGATGTTACCTAGTTTGGGTAACAAAACGTCTGCAAGAAAACAAGGATGCTCAGAAATCACCAAGGACCTCCCCCACTTTTAAAATTCCCCAGCTGAAAAGGGTTGAACTTCAAAACCATCATACCCTTTCAGCGTGCAAAAATCACACCACTTTTTCCTTTGACAGCCTTGAGATGGGACTTGAAGAAAAACATTGGAGATTAAAAGTTAAAACATTAATTCTCCCTTGCGCTGCTCAGAGAGTCCATTGAATGGGTTGTCCTCATGTCATTGGCCAAAGACCGAGTTAAATTTATTTATTTATTTATTTATTATTAATTAAATTTATATACCGCCCTACTCCCAAAGGACTCAGGGCGGTGAACATCTAAAAGATAAAATACACATAGTACAAATGTTAAAAAACCATTTAAAAAATGCATTAAATACTTTGGCCCAAAACAAATTTAAAACACCCCAATTTATAAAACAAATTTAAAAGCAATTAAAAGGGAGATTAGGCCAGACCAGCCTGCTGGAATAAGAATGTTTTGAGGGCACGGCGGAAAGTGCGCAAATCCGGGATCCTCCATATCTCCGGGGGGAGCTCGTTCCAGATGGCAGGTGCCCCCACAGAGAAGGCTCTCTCCCTGGGGGGCCACCAGTCAACATTGTTTGACCGACGGCACCCTGAGAAGACCCTCTCTATGGAAGCGTACTGGTCGGTGAGAGGCTACTGGTGGCAGAAGGCAGTCTCGTAGATACCCCGGTCCTAAGCCATGGAGCGCTCTAAAGGTGGTAACCAAAACCTTGAAGTGCACCCAGAAGACCACCGGGAGCCAGTGCAGCTCACGCAGGAGGGGAGTCACATGGGAGCGCCACATCGCTCCCGTAACCACCTGTGCGGCCACATTCTGGACCAGCTGGAGCCTCCGGGTGCTCCTCAAGGGGAGCCCCATGTAGACAGCATTACAGTAGTCCAGGCGGGAAGTGAGGGCATGAGTGACCGTACGTAACGAGTCCCGATCCAGAAAGGGACACAACTAGCGAATCAGGCGAATCTGATAAAAAGTCCTCCTGGCCACAGCCGTCAAATGCTCTTCTAAAGACAGCCATGAGTCCAGGACGACACCCAAATTGCGAGCCCTCTCCATGGGGGCCAACGACTCGCCCCCAATAATCAGTGATGGCACCAACTGACTATATTGGGACGTCGGAAACCACAGCCACTTGGTCTTGGATGGGTTGAGCCTGAGGCTCAACCCATCCAATTTGCATAGAGACACCTCCCCTTCAGGCTTGTCTCCAGTTCATTAACTCAGTCCGGCCATCATGACTGATTTCTTCTGAGTTCCATCAATGGACTCTCTTATTTGAGATTCTAAATTAAATTCGTCTCCTTTTTGTACTGATTTTTGAACGGTTTCTCGGCTCTGACTGACTCCTTGCTGTACAGAATCACCGAAAGACGTTCACTTCACTGACAGCCACTCAGCTGAGCAGCAGCTGCCACCGCCAGCCTCTCTCCCTGGCAATTGGGATTCTCCTTTCTTGCCGTGAGTGTGGGCATGCAAGGGAAGCTATGCTGTCCGCTTTGCGCCTGAGGGATCGGACAAGCCCCATGTTGTCAGGGCTGCGGTGTTCCCTCTGATTGTCAGCATGGCGGGTAGGTGGGAAGGGGCAGCCCCGTGTTGTCGGGGCTAAGCTTCCCTTAGCTCCTTTTTTCGCCACCGTCATCGCAAAGCCGCAATTTGGCCAATTTCCATCCCGGTGGCCATTTTGTTTGGCCGCGAAACGGCGCCTTTGCTGCCGAACGCTATTTTAGGGCACAAATGGCCAGTCAGCGCTTGTTAGTTACAAGCTTCTTAACTGCCACTTGACAACTACCAGCCATCCATTCACTACGCGCCCGGCGTTTCTGGAGCCGTGTTGCCATTTCCTAGCCATTGCAGCATTTACTGGCAATTGAAGGGGGCTGTTTCGGCAGCATTCCCTGCTTATTTACAGCTGCTGGGGTTGGTGTTTCAGGGACTGTGTTGTCAGTCTCTCACCGTTTCTGTGTCCCTGGGGTGTGCCTGAGACACCCATTGTCTCTGTTTTTGCCTGGGCTGGTGACATAGCAGAGCTGTGTTGTTAGTTTCCTGTCACACTTACCAGCTTGCATCTTTTCTTCAAGGAATTGTTCTGTCAGTTCCTGCATTTGTCACAGGCGATTACTTACCACTGGCATTATGGCAGATCGCAGCCACTCTCCATCTCATTGTTCCAGATCTCGTTGCATGGAAAGCAGAAAGTAAATCAACATCTAAATCCCGTTCTATCACTAGTAAACCTGAGTCCACTGCAACTTCCTCTGCAGCGGCCGATAAGGATGCTGACCGTAGACACCTCACTTTAAATAAGTAATTTGACAAGACGCAAAAGAAGGTGGTTACATCTTCTGCCACAAGCGCATCGGAAACCAGGGAACGCACCATTTCACCTGCGATCCAGGGCCTTTCTCCCCAGAGATGTCAGGATCTTGCCACTTGGTCTCCATCTTTGCCTGCTGATGAGCAGGTCAACCACGCGGTGATACGA